GCTTAACCCCCCCCCCCGCTTCCCCTCCCCCTCCCGATTTAAGATCTCGGCCATACTACCATAATGCGTAGGTCGACCTTCCCGAAGAACTTGAATGAAATCCTTGAGGAATGAAAGGGGAGACTCTTACCCCGTGAAGATAGAGCAAGATAAGCTGAATGCCCGGGGTATCCGATCGATACGAATCGATTTCGAACCGGTAGCAACGGGGCCGATAAATTTTTGGCAAATCGATAAGTGAAAAAGAATTTTTAACAAATTTTTCAAAAAATCACCACCCCTGGTCCGTTGGAATATTTTTCAATTTTCTCACGTTTCCCAAAGCGACAGCGATTTTTTCAATAATCAGGGGAAACCCAAACCTCACGTTAAACTTACGTGGGGAGGGTAAACAGCCCTCGGGCAGTGAGCGAGCTAACAACCTAGCAGTATTTCAAGTTTTTTTTTTCTTTTTTTTCTAAATCATTTTTTTCACCCGCCCTCGGCCTTCCGCCGCTCCGCCAAGAGAATCTGTGCCACTTGGGGTACCGTAAGCTCTCCTTTTTTTTATTTCTCTTTTTTTATACAAGGTGTTTCCGTTTACGTCTGGAAGTTCCGGTGCGTGCGTATCCCCTCTCCGGGGACCCTCTTACCTCCCCTCCTTTTCCCCTCTCTTGATGCAAGGGCCCCATAAAAAAACCCACGGGTCCCACTGGGTACTCACGCAGCCTGTACGCCACGGGTCTTAGAATCCACCTAGCACGCACCTATACGGTACACGAGGTAACCCCCAGGAATCATATTTTTTTATTCCCTAGGGACCCGCAAGGGGTCGTGCGAAAGTATGACGGTGAGAATTTTTTTATGCAAAAATGGACATGGGAAAAAACTTCGGACGGCCGCCGAGTGGATCCTTCAAGTTAAAACCAGAAGGACCCGACTGGGTATGCAGATTAATTTAATCCCAGTGAGAACTGAACCTGCTTGTACATAATTTATAGATCGTTAAATCATTGATAATTACATTCTAGAAGGTAATGGACATACTGAATAAAATATTATTTTCAAAAATTTTTTTGGTTTTCACGTGTCCAATCGGAAATCCGAAAAATGTCTTGTTTCAAAATCCAAAAGAAAAAAACGCGAGTGTAAAGGATAACGAGATTCTGTAAAAGCGTTTGACTATCCAAGGACACAGGACCACGTCAACCCTTACGCTAAGGAAGGTCCAAATTTCTAAACACCCTTGGCAAGGGGTCTGTCTCTGGTTATATTTGGTATCTGTCTCTTCAGGAGCACACATGCTACATAGGCGTAGCCACGAACGGACAGTTCAACTTTTTTCATTTTCATAACCTCAAACTTTCTCACCGTGCGCTCCATACGCATTTCCCATGCGTGCGATGCACTCGGTACCATACACGAGTATGGTTTAGTACACGAGTACTGTCTAGGAAAGAAAGAAATTACGACTGACTGCCAGTCAAAATTTATTTTTTTTTCCAATTTACAAAAATTTCCCTATACGTTCCAATTAACAAAATATTTATTCCTCGTCCTTTATTATTCATAATATTATTTAGTTATATATATATTATACAGTGTATACCTATATATCACGTGAAATCAGTAAACAGACCAAACGTCAGTTGCCTCACGACTCACGTAGTGACTCGAGCGAATCAACCTTTACGTATTCGACCTTCCAAACCGACATTTTGAGCGTTTGGTAAATGTGCCAATAAGCGAAGAAGAATGACCAGTCGTGCCAACATAAAGAACATAAGGAACGACTGGGCAATGGACTTATTGAATTAGAGAATAAATTTTTGCCAGACAGGTTAGGTTGGGTCGGGTTAATTTTCCTCGGTGGCAGCCCAAATCCGAAAAATAAAGTCACAGTCAGCCTGTGACATTTGATTTTATCGTGTTGGTACCCCCAAGAAGTAACAGTTGATAAACTCCCACGACGTTACGGTCGACGCTCGCTGGACGCTGGTGAAGACGACGCAATGCGCCGCAACGCACCGCGTCGCACACATGTGTTCGTCTCGGAGTCGCCAGACAGATCTTTTTTGCCCCGAAGTAAAAATAATCTTTAAAACCCCGAACAGGATGCGTTGTTAGGGCAGGGGAGATGCTGGCGAGGGCATCGTCACCAAGATGGTCCACGCTCAGTTTTTTCACCCTTTGGACGTTTGTCTCCCCATAACGGGTGTCCGGAATTAACGCGGAGAGAAGGAGGATGACTCCAGTTTGGGGAGGGCAGCCCCTTCGTTACACGTATCTTGCTTCTGGGGTTCGTTCGAGTTTGGGAAGTGACGTTTTGGATTCGATCGCCTACTGAAAATGTTATTCTTTGAGATTGTCGAGGAATGGAAAAATGGTCAAAAATTAAAAAAAAAATTTTTTGACAGTTCTAAATAGTCAAAATAAAAATTTTACGTATTTTTAAGCCAAGCTTAAATTTTGCACTCGAATTAATTTTGAGAATAGAAATTTTTTTTTTTTATATAAAATTTACTTCATATAGCCATGTAGTAACAGCGATTTTTTTTTTTCGAAATTCGATTAATTCCTGCTCAGACCGTGTTGAGTTGCTATGCGGAGTCGTGGGGGGGTGGTCGAATTTTGGTTGAATTAAGTAAATTGATGAATTCGTAACGATAAGGTTAAATGACACGTATCTGTATTTCTTTCTTACGACTGATTATTAATTGGTTTGTTGATGTTCGTTCGTGTCATTCTGTCCGTGATATATGGTGAAACTGGGCTAAGCGAAGCGTCAGGTGAGCAGCGTCTGGAATAATTGCAAAACCGATTGGAAAGTTCGATCCCGTCGCGAGAAAGATCGTATCGTGAGACAAATAGGTCCCGAAGGTCAGTTCCCTGTTTTCCGTATAGGACGGAGGAGGCTCCCGAAAGGTCCGACTTTTCCTGGGCCTTAAATGTCTCGGAATAAGAGGAGGAGGAGGAAGAAGAAGAAGATTGGCCGTTGAAGATATTGGACAGGTCCGGGATACACTGTCCAGGCTATACCTAAATGACGTTCACGTTATAGAGCGTGGTAGAGAGCAGACCGCAAGAGATAATTTTTCAAGGATTGTTAAAAGTCACTTCAGACACCAAGAGAGGTCCCACGAGTCTGGGAAAAATATTTCTAGCCTCCCCTCGCGTTATGGGCCTTATGGGCCCTGACAGAGATCCTGCTAAAAAGAAATCATATACGACGATAAAAAAATTCAAACATTAATTTTTTACTAAAAACTTTTCAAAATTTACATCCTTCAACCTTTATCGCACTGTGTCGCCTTAATTAATCGAGTGAACAAGCAGGTATTGCGCGACTGTGTAAATTTTCCAAAAAAACTTCACCGTTAAAAAATACCAAATAATTACGGCAGTCCATCCCAGAGCAAGCAAGAAGAGAAAAAAAAATTCGTTCGCATTAATCCGGCAAGTAGACGTCGGTCTGGCCAAGTGCGCCGACAAGACTCAAATCAAACAGTCGATAAGACAAACAGAAAAAAGAAAAGGAGTCATGTGACGCTCAATTACAGTGTACCGATCTATAAATATTGTACGTGTAGAAGCATCTGCGGACGTCACGACGGCACAACTCGAGCGCGCATTAATTATCCCGAAAATCGTCCGAGCGGGATTGACATCCGCGTAGCGTCAACGGTCGACGTCGAAGTAAAGTTCAAAAGTACCAGCATCGGTGCCCGCCCCGGCCGCTTCGAAAAAAGAAAATAAAACGTACCACTACGGGGTAGTAAACTCCGAAAAGCAAGTAGAGTCCATCCAGATCCCGCGAGTGTCTCCTATTCCCTCCAAGCGTTTACAAAGTCCTCCCGAGCCCCCCACTCCGACCGCCTCATCCTCTTCTCCTCGCTCCCTGATCCCCGCCGCCCGCCCCGTGCCCGCTACGTCGGCCTCCCCTCGTCTCCTCTCGTCGTCCCCCACCCTTCCCCCACCATCGAGCACCAATCACTATCTCCCTCTCAGTCGCACCCGCGCTCAGCCCGAGCACGTCGCTCCTCGTCCACCCTCACGATTCGACCCCCCCCTCGCCCCGCCGCACGAACACCAGAGCCGCCCGGCGACGTACGTGATAGCCACAGAGCCACCAACACGTCCGCCGTATCTTTCCACCACTACCGACGCACCAGCAGCGTCCATGCTACTAGCCTCCCTTTTCGACGGAGAGAAGGTTTCATCCCCCAGTGAACGTGGTACGGGGACTCCCCCGAAAATTCTCTCCCTTGCAGACGTTACCCCCACCCCGGGGGTGAAAACTACCCCACGACGTGTGGGGTGTCCGGCCTGCCGAGGTGAACCGAACGCGTCCGAAGTGAGCGCAGTGCCCGACACCAGGTCCCGAACGCCACGACTAGGCGCACGTCCGGCACAGTCCACTCAGAGATACGACCCATGCTGGACCAACATCGCTGGTCCACGCCAGCAGCATCCGACACAACCAGCACGAGTTGATCCAGCGACACGGCCTGGATCAGGAGGATAAGGAAGGAAGGATCGGTGGTTCCTGTTGTATTTCGCGGAGAAGAGACGATTCGGTGTTGCACGCGTTTTGTGAAAAGGACAATGTTTATTTTTTTATTTTTCTTCGAATGACAAGCACGTCCTCGCGCAATAATCCTTAATCGTTCGTACGGTGCTCGTTGTGCTTTTACTTTGTTTCGCGTTCGTACGACGTGTCGTCGTTTTAATGATATCGCTGTCGGCTGAAGAAACGTGTCTCTGTCGGGAGTTTACGTGTGTTCCTTGAGGACTACAAAATTATACTCGTGTTCGCGTACAAAAGTGTCAGGAAAGTGTGGATGGGCTGTATGCTGTTTTTTTGGCATTGTTTTTTCAAGCCTACCAAAAGGCCTGCGTCGCCCGACGAAAATACGAAACTGTCAACGCGGTTAACCTTCACGGGAAAACTTGCTCGGAGTCTCGTCCGCTGTCCACGAGTCATTCGGACGTGAAGAACGAGGATCGAAAAGTTGACACGATATAACAGTGAGAATAACCAGTGTCCAAAGTTTGTTACTGTGTCGCGATACAGAGGGGAAAATTCCGAATGTCAAACACGAGAAGGCTGAACGTTTGACAGGATCCTTCGCGGAAGATCGAAGAAATCGCTGACGAGTCGAACGGACGACGTACGACTGTAATCGTGTCTCTGGGCAGTTGCCGTTTATTTATTCACAAACACGAGAAATTTTCTTCTCGAGGCCCAGACCGATCGTACAACATTTCTTCGACAAGGACGGCTAAGGTGAAAAACAAAAGCGCGTGACACGGACACGCGCCCAGCTATGCTGCCCATTTGACGAAGAGCTCGGCAAGGAACTTACGATAATTATTACTTCGGTGTATGTATATATGCATGCGGATATATATATATATTTTAGAAAAAAAAAAGGAAAAGCGTCACGTCCTCGACGCGATTTTTGAGAGGCAGAGAGGAATTTTCGTAAAAATTCATTCGCCAAAGTACAGAAACAAGTGATCCGCACGAATGGTGACGAGATTAACGAAATACGTGGTGAATCCCACGGGATATCCAGGCGGATCCGGAAACACGAAGAGACGAAAGGAAGGTGACGCGACAACGATCGCGGAAGAATTAATTTTTTTCTTTTATTTTGTTCTACGTTAAATCTTAACGAGAATTTCAAATCCCCCGTTCGCGGGCCGCCAGTGATTATTTCCCGTGAAATCCGCGGGAAAAAATTTTCGACACACGGGAATTGTTGAAAAACAAAAAATTTTCGAGTTTTACTCTCCTTGTAAATTGAGTGTCGTCGGTAACGATCGAGACTTTCATCATGAGGATCAAAATGCCTGCTGTTAGAATCGCGCAAGGTGAGTGTCGATGACTTATTCTTTTTTTTTTATCTTTATAATTTTTTTTTTTTTTAATATTTTATTCGATTCCTTCCATGACTTTTGAGACTTTGGTACGGTGGGAATGATCTTCTTTGGGCGGTATCGGATTGTCGCGGTACCCGACTGCGCGCGAACGAATCGTATACTGGCTGTGAGGAATGTATATTAGAAGCGACTGATACTCGATGATCATTGAAAACTTGATAAGATATCGTTGTAATACAAGAAAAGTATAAATCGCGTCTATTTGTCGTGCGGGTTCATTGATCTTTAAGGTTTTATGGATAATTATCGGTTTCAATAAATTTTCAATGTTTATTTATATATATTGTTAACGATATAGTATTTTGTATTCTGTAATTACAAACGGTCGATTGCTATTTGTTATTTTATTTATTGAAGGAACAGCCCGTGTATCCACTGGCGCTTCGATTGTGCTTAACGTCAATATACGTGCGATTATTTATGTTTCCGAGCAACGTTACAGAATTTAATTGACATTAATTAATTGATACCGTTACACTTTGATTCAAATTGATCTGTCAGTCGTTTACGTTAATGATCTATTCACTGATTCAGTAAAATCGGCTATCCTGAACGTTCAAGTTATTCGATCCAACAGCAAGCAGCTCTTTGCATATCTTTTATATTTCTGTTCGACGAAGATTTTTCAAAATTTTTACAATCAACAAATTAACAAATTTAATTAACGATTACAGGTAAACCGTAGCACGTGACACTGTATTCACTATTATAGTCTGGAACTATATAATTTTTACTATACTTTTTGCACTATTTGCTAATCGAGCGGGTAGCCCGAAAAATTAAATTGGAGTCATGGGTATCGATAAGAAAATTTTCTTATCAAAAGTGTTACTTGACGCGATGATACGGATCGGGATTAAAAGAGCAAGCGGAGCATTTCCGAAATGTAGTAAATAAAAGAAGAATCAGGATTGTTGAAAAGACGCAGAGAAGCGTCCCGCTCGCGTTCGCGGGAGAAAAGAAAATGTTGAAGAAAGGGGCGCGTGGGGAGGGGATGGCCGTGGCGTCTTGGCGGAGGGTGGGTTTGCCGGTAGAATTTTTAATTAGTCTCTAACACCCCCATCCCGAATGGGGTGCCCTTGAGAGGGGGTTAGGGGTCCTGCGGGCGCTAGGGGAGGAACCGAAGGGGGGTCCGCATTGTCATGCGCGCCTTTTTCAGAGACTTTTCCACCCCCGTGCCACCCCCCCCCGAAGAACCTCCCTTCCTCACCCCCTCGCCACTGCTGCTCCGTTTTCTTAATTACAACTGCGATATTCTTTAGTTCGCGCGATGACGCCGTCGCGAAAAGATACCGGAATTCTTCGATAAAATTCCCTATCTCGACTCTCGACCCATCTGAGACTCCCTTAGATGATTCGCGGACACCCGTTATATCATCGCGCTACCTGGTATCGGTCAATTGGTAACAGTACGCGATAACGTAATACAATTAACATTAGGCGCGGCCCAAGTGTCCTCCGCGATGTTATTTCAAGTGTGAACGAAATTAAATTAGGATTTTGAAAAAAAAAAAATAAAAATTTTTTAAAAAATTCACTACCCAGATATATACCAATCAAACAAGTACGCAGTAGGAACCATTCAAAAGTTTCCTTTCGCGACCTTCGACACTATAATTAATTAAGTGTAAAATCTAAAATTCGAAATTTTTAATGAAAGTGCAAGGATACCTAAGAAATTTAATTTCCAAAAAAAAAATCGCATTTTCTTTACGGTACACGTTTTGTGGATTCAGGAAGATCCAGGGGGTGGATTTTTCAAATGGACTCTGATTCAAGGTGATTTTTTTTTAATCAAATTTTTACAATCTTTTTTTTTTTTTCAAATTTCAATCTCCGATTCACTAGAAAAGACCGTCTCTTTCTATTCTCTTTCTGGTTTTTTTTTCCGCCATCGGCGCAGCCGTCTCCATGCAATGACTCTTGACTGTCCCTCCCAAGACAATGTCCTATGTATGTCTTTCTAATGTCCCGCACGGAAGTCAAAAGAAATCCTAAACGTCCTGCCCGATACGCCAGTGAATAAATATTCACTCACTTAACCACCGCATTTACCGACAAGACGCGTGTGAATCGGACGCGGATTTCGCCTCAGTCATTTTTCTCCTCGCAACAAGCTGCTCCTGTCGCTGCGCCTCTCGCAAAACAATGAACGCCATTTCATAACGCAAACTTTGGCATTCGACGTCTGTTCGGATAGTTACGGCGTCAGCCATAATACAGCCAGCACACAATTACGCAGACAATAAATGTCCTCGATGATAGGAATTCGATCAGAGGCCTTGGCTGGACTTGTACCATATTTTTCCTTTTTATACATATATACGAGTGATAAGTATATATATATATTTTTGAAAAAAATTATTTTTCACGACTGCGATTGAAAATTCTGAAAAATTACACGTTTTATTAGTGATCTATGATTCTTTGCTTCCCTCCAGACTGCTACTCTCGATTAGGTATGTACGCGGTGTCGAATAATTTCACAAGTGCATGCAAGGTACTTCAGGGATGTTATTTAGTAAACAAAGTGCATTTTACGCTCCACCCTGTCGGCACGTGCGTAGCACATGCGTGCTATCTGTTAAACATTGTCTTTGATGCGACCCGTCGGAACCCCTTCTTGTACTCGAGGCTCCGAGGCTTTAAGCGGCGCTGCGGCAAAAAACTACTTTGATTTGATTTCTTAGATTAACCTTAGGGCGCTGAGGCGCGTGGCGTACCCTTTTTCCTTTTATTTTTTTTTTCATCTTACCAAGGGTCCAGCACGCGCCCAGGTAAGACGAGACGTCGTGTGCGCGAGAACGAGAGAAAAGAAAAGTTTAAGAAATTTTTGGTCGATGCGTCGAAATATTGGAACGAAAAATGTTGGTTTTCGAAAAGAAATGAGTAACACATTTTTCTTTTTGGTTTTTAATAAATAAGTGAAATTTCGTGGATCTCTTAATTATTCGTCGCTCGAGGGATCCTTGAGAAAACTCGTACGGATGTGAGATGTTTTTTTTTTTCTCTTCAAAAAATCCTACTCGGCAACGCCAAAAATATCATTTCCGTTCCGGGACATCAGTGGGACGTCGCGATGCCTTCCGAGTTTGCCGAAGCATTTAAACCGGTGATACGTGCCCCCTGACTGTTCTCCATTTCTCATGGTGCCAGGGGTTAGTGCAGAGGAGGTGAGACAGGAAAGAAAGTAATTTTGTAAATAGCACTGAAATATTTCAATGCTTAGTAACGTAATGCCTAGTGATTCTCTAACCACCGGGTAGATGGCGCCACTTGCCACCCGTCGGATCCTACGTTTACGTTCACTACTGGCCGGGAATTTGTTCCCTCAATTTTCTGTCTTCTTGTCTCCGACTGGCATCTTCAAGCAATATTTGTCTTGCGTACAGTAACTTTAGGGATCGATTGTAAAATTACATCGCAAGCGATTACAGATTGCTTTTGTTAGCTATTTGAATAGTTTTTTTTTCTTTTCTCCGCGTTCAACGGTACAATAAATATTATTCAGCAGCGAATCTCATGATCAGGTAGCAGTCGTACACACGTGTCTCTGTCCCAGCCGGTATAATACAGTAATTATATTAATTAACGCACGGCCTAAGGAACTAAAGGTGACCTGGAAGCCCGTTCGGACAATACGGGCGGAAATAACGGGTTTTTCAGAGAAATGGATCACGAGTGCCATTCGCGACTTTTTATTGTCTCGGAGAATAAATTGCTTTCGAGTCGTCGCGAAGCAAAGGGAAAGTGAAGGAAATAGAATTTCAAGAGAAGTTATAGAAAAAGAAAATAGTAAAGCAAGACGAATTACAGTCGCACAATAATACATTATTTTTGGATTAAAATGAATTTTGAATAGAAAAAAAAAATAAATTTCATACACAAATTTCCAAAGCTCCGTCAATCCGTAACTTCGGCCGACCCCTTAACGCCGCGCGAACTGCTTTCAGATTCGGTAATCCAGGTACACTCGGATTATTCCGTTTAATAGTTCATCGTAACACAATCCACAAAGGTCCAATTAATCATTACGGTAAATCAGTCGAGACTCTGGAAGTCGTGTTTATTTATACCGTCTACCCACTGACGTTCTCCCTAACCTCAAAACCAAGTCCCGTCGGCGTAAACGCAAAAATTCGAACTCTTTCGCAGGGCTCTCACTCGTTCGAATATTCTTTCACTTCACTTTGCCTCATCGCCAAAACTTTTTCCCCAACGCGAAATCTTCCACGCTGCAACGGACTTTTCCTCTAACCTTTCATCACCTTCCTGCACACTTCCTTCCGGCGCGAGGTTGTATATCGTCCATCCAATCTGCCGGCGGGCAATTTCGTCTGAAATACGACGTCATCAGGCTCGTCGTAGGAACTCTAGCCGAGTCGGAGGTGTTATTGGCCGCCGCGCGAAGTATACCTCGAAAAGGGATTAAAGTCTGGCGACCGAACCTATCAAAGTAGGAGAAATATAAACAAAGGATAATACTGTACCTAGTACATTTTTAGCTTACCCGGCGCATTGGGGCCTTTACGAGTTTACAAGGACGCTCGGTCGGCCGGCTTACACTTGATATTATTATGGATTCACAATGTACAAAATACGTGCTGGTACTAAATGCTGTTATAAAAGACAGAGAATGGCGGTCAGGGCACTGACGTCAATAAGTGCGTCCAGTTTATGGGGACAGTGAAACTTATGTTGTTTGCAGTGTCGGTTTCCTTCGGGCATTGTCGGCGATTGTCGGTCATTGTCCAGGACCCTTCTTCGAAGGTGCGAACACCTTTCAGACAATAATCTACTCGCATTATGCGCTTTGTCGTACCGTCGCTTTACCGGGGTCGATTCCCCCGTTCGGCTGCTTGGCTTCGCCCTTCTTGTCTACCTGCGACCTCGGCAAGACCTGACCAGGGGTCACTTTCAATTCTCGGTCA